GTATTTGGTCATCAGTTGGCGCTTCTGGTCATCAGGATCCACCGGTTGCAGGGGCTGCATGTACGGAAAGTGGCTGTAGGAGGAAATAAATATATTCAATTAATCTTAAAATATTAATCTTTAAATATTTAATGTCGTATTTAAATAAATAAATAAAGTTAATACAAGAAACATGAAATCCTAAAATATTTACCTTAAAATTAATTTAGGTAATTAATTAAATACCTGAAACCTGAAATCTTGAAATAATTAATTCTGAGTTTTTAATAACTTACGTGGCTTCCATTTTCTTGAGGCACCGCAGGAACTCCTCATTAGTAGAAAAATCCTTACGATGAATACGACTTTTTCCGACATAACAAGTCTTTTTCTTTCCCTGAATATAAATTCAATTTATTTTCTTTACTTTAAGAATCAACTGATTAATAAGCACTCACCGCAAGGAGGCCCACGGATTTCATGACTCGCAACGATTTATCCTTACAGCTGGGTGGATCAGGATGCTTGGTGAGTCCGTGTCCAATTTTATGCTCGGCCGCCTTTAGAACGGGCTCGATTAGCTCGTCAATTATCTTGCCAACCCTCACTAGTTCGTTGCGACATTCTATAAGTTTATTAGTTAAGAAAAATAAATATTAATGAATTAGGATTGAAAATTTAATTAAAACTTAAAACAGTAAAATAATTAAATTATAAATGTTTGAACTGCAATACAAAATTCTTTCGTTAGTCATCTCATGCTCATTATCTAAACTTTAAAGCCCAGAATATTAATTTTGACTTTGTAGCCTTGACAAATAAATAGTTTCTACTAGCTTTCATCAATTTTAATTTTGGTAAATATTTTTTACAAATTATAAAAAATAAACTAGAATAATTCCTTACCCTGCGGCGTTCGAAATGCATAATGATCGCCGGCAGTGAACTTTTCCTTCTTTGGAGGCCCTTTCATATTATTGACTCGCATGTGGCGAGCGGAGGGCGTTCGATAGGCTCCAATGAGTTCCGAAGGAGACCCGTGCTGTCTTCTCAGTTGATTTGTCCACAAAGAAGAACTGGTTCCACAGCCCGGATAGAAGACCCGAACTCTTCGATTGCAGTAGATTTCCAGAAGCTGGCATGTCATTTCATAGATTTCCTGCTCACTGGGCCGCACTGCATTAAGAGGGAGGGTGTCAAATTTTTAATAATGCACACTGAATAAATATTAACGCTTATTTATTACCGCCAGTCATCCATTTGTCAATCCAGGGAAATTGATTACAAGCTGCAAGCGAAAAAAAGGAAACTGTATTGAATGGTAAAAAAATAATGCGAAAAAATGCGAAATTGAAAATCGCATTTAATATTTGCCCACGAATATGACATGGGTCTGTCTGCACTTTTCAAATTTGATTTTTCCCCTTTTTCCGTGACTTTTAACGTGCCCGAAAGGCAGGTCAAATAGGTTTGTTTGCGCAACATGAAATTGTTTTAAATAAAAGTCACGGCGGCGGCAGAGTTCGATTTTTAACTGATTAAACCGGAATTAATTTCCATTCGGGGCCTTTACAAACGGAATTCCCTGCGGCCTGAGTGGCCAGCATCTCGTCCTATCTGTGGGTTTCCATTTTTTTGTCGAATTTGCATGCTAATGTCTATTGGCAACACGCTTTTATACTATTGTGTAACCTGATCCCTTATTAGACCTGATGGCGCTTCCATTCCGGCATTAAATATTAAAAAACTAGACACAAAAATGAAACATTTTTATTACGAACTAACGACAAAAGTCGAGACTGAAGAGAGATATGTTTTTTTTGAGGGTAAAAGGCGATTCATGGGTTCTCTTTTTTATCTGATAATTTGTTAAAGAAAGGTTGAAAAAATTAAAGATAGCGAATACATAAAATACTTTTTAAAGTGCAACGAATTTCATAAAATACTATAAAAATACCTTTATCTTTCTTTTAAATATACCTAAGTAAAAAGGATGTAAAAGTTTTTATTGAAAAATTCCATTAAAATATAAATGTTCCATAGGCAATTCATATGTAAAAAACACTAAAGTCTAATAGTAATATTTATAACATATTCATAAGCTAAGGACCTTTCTCCTTCAAAGCATCCTTATTGCCCAAAGAGTATGCAACGGAAAAAAACGCAAACATAAAAATGTTCCATGTAAATGCTAAATAAAACACTATGATAAACATGTTGTAGAGTCACTCGACCCCTCCTTCATCCTTCGTCCTTAGTCCTGCTCTCCCCGCCCTCCCACTTGCCGCCCCCTGAGCGCCCTGCACTCCCAAAGGATATTCAAATAAATGTCATACGCATTTGTTTTTCGGTTTTACCTTTTTTTCCTCATTTCGGTTATAAAATTTTATGTTAAAAGGATAATGTTTGGAATTTTTATGTTTACAGGTGAACAATTTTCCAGCGAGCTGCGCTGTGGGAGTCGGGAAAATGGGGGGCAGGAAAATGGCGAAGCAGACAAGAAGAAATAAGGAGTTTGAGGAGGGAGCTACTTCTGTTCAGGGGCATGTTTTCGCATTTAATAAAGTATTAAGTGTTATGTTTTTGCGGTAAAGTTCTCACTCATTGAATAACACGAAATGTGTGGCAATTTGTTTTGGGGCGAATTTCCGTTTCCCATTCCCGGCATTTTCTGGCATAATGCGCAAATGTTGTTCAACTTAATTGTCAGCCTGTGGTTTTTCCCTAATCCTAACCAATTTCATACTCACCCATTGAATCGAAGTTGTACGTATGCTCCTTGGCATCACGCAGTAACTCAAATTGTTCAGGCATTATAATATCCTCCAGCTGTAAATCCTGTAGACTGTCATCATCGCACTCGTCGTACTCCTCCTTAACATTATCCAAATCATAGCGGTGGAAATCGAACTCTCGATTGCAGCGTCCCACGATTTTATCAGTTTGCATGTGAGCTAAATGTTAAAATTAAAGATTCAATAAGAGATATTTAGCTGCCTTAAAGAGAAGAACTTGCAAACTTCGATATTTTCGATATTTAAATGTAAAAAATATTTAATATCGAAATTTCGATTATTTTCAAGCTCTAATTGGGAGACCCTCACATATCTTCTCTTGCAGAAACTCCTTGACAGGATCCAAGGGCAGTTGATCGAACCCATATTTGAGATTGAAGAATGGGCAGTCGTTTAGTTGCCGTTTTTCGCCCTTCTTCTGAGCCTGCGAAACTCGAGGAAGATGGAGGGTTCTCTTTCTCCTCAACTTATCGTCCTGCAGCCGAGGATCGCAGTAAGGACGTCGCTCGGGAGCTACCTTCTTTTGCATTGTAAGGTCATGGATTCCGGGATGGTGTGTGCCTGATCCTTCCGTCGATGATGTCGGCTTGTTAACGGAATCGTATTCAAAAGCCAACAACACAACGAAACACGATTTTCTAGTCTGTTTTCATTTGTTTCACTCGGTGCGGGGCATACTTTTCTCTCTCGATTTTCCCTTCGAGAAAAATTTTTGAAAAAAAGAGGAATGATGGCAAAAGTTTGCACAGCAGCAGCAGCAGCGAAATATTTGCGGGCCAGCGATGAACGTGAAATGTTTACAAACAAAGTCGAGGCCCAGGCAATGGGCATGGCAGCATGGCCATGGCAACGGAGGACCCGGGGGCTCAGGAGGGAGTCCAGGAACCGGGGGCGTACGTGTAACCCCGGCAACCAGGACAGGCAGACCGGCTGCAAAAGCCGCCACCGGAGGAGCTAACACCCCAACACTCCGTCAACGTGCTCTCCGCTCGGCTCGATAATATTTGATATTTGTGTCTGGCGAAGGGATGGCTTCCCGTTGCTACAGCTGCACTAGCAAAGACACGGAGGAAAACCAAGGATTCTAGAGGGAAGTGTCAGAAGAAACTTTAGACAAATGTACGTAGCAAATGGAAGTTAGAATTGTTTAAAAATAAAGTTAAAATTTAAAACACACAAAGTATACAAAAACCAAAAATTAAAAAAAAAAAAATTAATGTGTTTATGTACTATTTTTATATTAATTTTTCGAATATTTCTATGATAGCTATATAATATAGCCGTCCAATTTAAAATTATATTATATAGAAGAGAATTAATGTGTTTATGTACTATTTTTATATTAATTTTTCGAATATTTCTATGATAGCTATATAATATAGTCGTCCAATTTAAAATTATATTATATAGAAGAGAATTCGATAAAAAATATAGAAGCTATATTATATTGTCGTACGATTTATATGTGAATAAAATATTTGCCTTAAGTCGTTCCCACAGGATTTAAAAAAAAAAAAAATGTTTCACCTAACTTAATATTTTTATATTTCCTTGTTTTCTCACAGTGCACCCAAAGCACACGGAGCAGCAGGTAACGCGGCAGCTTTTCTCGAATTGTGCACACATTTTTCAATAAAGCGCTGCAACTGCAGAAAAGCTGGTCCTAGTGTTGCCTTGCCGCCGCTGCTCCTGGCATTCTGTGTATTTATTATCCCATCTGTCTGGCAAAAGGCAAAAGGAGCAGCAGCTCTGCTCGTCATTGAACCTGATGATATGTTGACAATGATGGAAAATAATAATACTCGTACTGTTCATACTGTTCGGAGCTCCCTAATAGGGTTGCAGCTCAATGGGAATCCCATCCATAATGCTACCAGGCAAGGCAACATAATCATGAGCCGATTTTGCAAGCAGAGGAGATTCGATCCCCGATGCATTTTAGACCACCAACGGAATTGGCTTCAACACAAAGACCTCTTTTGGTTTGGCAGTTGTGTTTGGGCCTCTGAGCCTGCACAATTAGCGCAACAATTAATTGTGGCAAATTAATTGGAAATTTGATTAATGGGCAATTGCGGTTGCCTTGCCTTTGTGGTCCTCCTATCAGGCGAAGGCATTCAACTTTGACCAACTTTGAGGGCGCCGTGTAAGTGCGGTTGCCACAAATGCGAGGGATGGAGTTATCATGTGTGTTTTCCAGTTGACAAGTCGTGGGAATAGCCGGGCATGCGAAACCATCATCGGAGGCCGGGAAAACCAGAAGGATTCAGCATTCAGGAGTTAGGATCGAGGTCATCTGCCTGTCACGTGCCTAAGCCAACGCAATGCAGGTGCCACCGACAGGTCCTTCGGGAATGGAAAGCCACACTGGTAAAAAAATGTAGCATATCCAAAGATTTCCGATTTATCTTAAATATTCTTTCGTGTTTTTCAACCATTTAGGTTTTTATTATACCCTTGTAGAGGGTATTATAATTTCAGTCAGATGTTTGCAACGCAGTGAAGGAGACGTTTCCGACCACATAAAGTATATATATTCTTGATCAGCACCAATAGCCGAGTCTATCTAGCCATGTCCGTCTGTCCGTCTGTCCGTCTGTCCGTCTGTCCGTTTCTATGCGAACTAGTCTCTCAGTTTTAAAGCTATCGCGATGAAACTTTCCCGAAAGTCTTCTTTCTATTGCAGGTAGTACATATGTCGGAGCGAGCCGGATCGGACCACTATATCTTAAGGCTCCCATAGGAATATTCAAACAAATATAAGAAAATTCTTGTTAATTTGTAGGAAGTAGGCGTTTTAATTCTTGACTACTTAAAAACAAAATTCAAAAATAGGAACACTGAATCTGGAATCCCTGGAACTGCACCGAGTGAGTATTACTTTATCTGCAAGGGTATATAAGCTTCGGCTGGCCGAAGGTAGCTTCCTTTCTTGTTAATTTTAAATATAATATATATAAATATATAGAATAGAACACGTAATTAATTGTTTCTAATTTAATTATAATTTTAGAAAATTTATATTAATATTATTAGACTTTAAATTTAGCAAGAAATTATTCTTTAATGATTTACAAATATTTAAAGTAATTATGACTAATTTTTTATCTTATATTTTCTGCCCTAATTCAAATATTGTCAATTTGAATCATGGAATTTTATATATTGCGTTAAATATTAGATTTTTAATTTTATTTAAATATTTTTTATTCAGATATTTATTTTTTTCTATATTATTTTGTTTTCTGTGCTGGGGATGGGTTCTTCGTGCTGCACTGCATCCAAAGCCATGCGTGACAAATATTTATTAACTGCCACAACAGCGGGCAGCAGCTTAGAAGCTTGATCTCCGGCATTAGAGAGCTAATAAAAAATTGATTCCGACTTCGTCAATTGTCACAAATAATGATTACTACGCATTTTCGACGCATGACACGCATCAAATTGCATTTAGTTTGTCATTGGCCTTTTGTGGGTGAGTTTGACTTTTTCGGGGGATACGGTTGATGCGGGGTTGAGTTCGGTCTTCGAGCTTTGGCAAACAAAGGGACCGTAATGCGACGGCTGTCAGTCACGTGACCTCATTGCTGAAAATACACACACACAAAGGGGAGGGACAACATCATTATTAACAAAGTCAACGAGCAGCAACAAAAGTCCGGAGGAGCAGCAGCATCATTTCCAGCATTTCCAGCCTGCGAGTATGCAACACTTTTCACCAGAACGGAAATAAGTCGAATCCAATCATACCCTAAGAAGCTTAACTTCTGGAGTTGTGGCTGTGGAGCGCCGGTTTTCGGGTGTGAGGCAGTATGAAATTGGATATGCGCTTGCCTCGAAGTTCGAACACAAAAGATGAAATAAATCTTGGCAGAAAAGCAGGAAATAAATCATTGATATTGAAGAATAGCAAAAAATATGAAAACTTTACATTGGAACTTTAAGTGGAGGAAGTAAAGGGCTTAATTTAAGGCTTTACTTCAACCTTAAGAGTTTTATACGCTTAAAAATGTGTGTTTGGTATTGCATAAATATTAAAATAATATTTGAGAATTATTTGAGTACATTTTAAATTGAAAGAGGGCAGCCGTAGTTCCTATAATTTATTTAAAAGCTTTGGGAATCATTAATATAATTTTTAAGGCATTTATATACCAGATTATGAATGTTTGTTATTTTATAATTATTTTTAAAATTATTTTAAAATTTGAGTTTTATTTTAAAATAAATAAACGCAACTGTATCGTTGAACAAATGTCTTTTTCTTTTGTGATAAAAGAATATGTCTATAAATATTATAAATATTTTTAACCTTTAACATATTTTAAAATGTATAAATTAAAGTTCCTAAGATTTTTTATAACCTTTTAAGTTAGAGTATAATTAAAGAACTGCCTCGTCAAGGCAAAGTTTTCCTTTTTTTACTGCCCAGTCTCTCACTTTCCTGCTCCGTTCCGTTCCCCATTGTTTATTTGCCTCGATTCTGTATTTTTTTCGCCCGTTTGCTGGCATGGCGAATCGCATTTTGTCCACGTGATTAATGGGCAGCGCTGGAAGACGTCGCGACTTGAAAAATTACATTCAAAATAAACGACAGAGGCGTCGTGGTCGGCGTTTTAAAACGGCCCCGTCACACGTGAAGGGGGGGTAAAAAGGGGGGTTGAAAACAGGACGAAGGGCGTGAGGTGGGCGAAGGATAAGGAGGACAGTGTCGCATATCAGGCAGCAAAATTCGTCCTGACGCACGTAAAAGATGCAACAGGAGCGAGAGCAAACACCGTGTGATTTACACGCAACCTCGAGGGGGGTGGGGTTTGAAAGGGGGTGGGTATTGGGCTGGGGTCATAGTGCAAATTAGGGGTTGACTGGGCTGCAGGCGACGCACTCTGTGTTGTCAATTGAAAACGTGCCAACAATTTGCAACGACGATTAATCGTGCGACCAAACTGGGAGTTACAATTGCCCCTGGTCCTTTGGCAGTTTCAGCTTCTCCTGCAAGGATGCCAGAATCCGACTGTCTGGTATCCTTGGAATCCCCCTTCCTTTTCAACGGTGGAACACCGTGCATGTTGCGGCGCATTTGCAGCTCTGTTTACGAGTCGAAGTTTGCCCTGCGTTTGACTAATTTGTGTGTGGACTCTATTATGCACGGCTGGGAAATGGGAAATGGAAAATGGAAGGTGGTCCGGCGACTTAAGCCTGAACCGACGGACGTCTGATGATGAGCACTTAATTCCCAGCCGCTAATTGGTTCCAATTCCAAGATGAAGAAGGACCACGCAACGGTGGGATGATCAGAAGCTCGGAAGTCAACAGAGATAATATATCTTCTTCGGTTTTAAACCAAACTTAAATCACGTGCTATTTTTATGGCTGGTTAATTATCGCCAGCCATTCGCTTAAATTTTTTAATCAATTTTTATCGCTAATATTTCTTTTCCCCCTTCTTGCTTTATGTTATCATTAATAATGAATATAATTATGGAATGTCAAAGTGGGTAAAATGAAAAAAAACCAAATCGGTTGAAATACAATCGCTTTATACGGATGCAGATACAGATAGAGAGAGATACTGTGCTATACCGGGGCCATCATTAAAGGCTTTTGTATGCAATTACATGCCGCATTGAGCAATCATAAATTAGCTTTGCAAAAGTGCGATAAAAAATTATATAGCGAAATTCAATTAAATTATAAAATGTGCAAAAATTTAATGCTCATAATGAAAAGTTGGCCCAGCTCTCGCGTTCGCATTAATCATAACAATTTGCAACTCATTTTTTTAACCCACCTCCAAGGCATCTCGCATTTCACATTGCTAAAAAAAAATTGGCTACTGAAATCATCTGCCCACTGTATATTCATATTTGTTTTAAATGTCAACAATCATCAATGCAAATTCACTGCAAATATAGCCAGTCATTCCTGATTTATCCTCGAAACGTCGCATCAATTGCGATCGAGTGGCTGCTGATGGAGGGAAAACAAGTGAATCGAAGTGGAAACCGCAGCGGTGTCAAAGATACAGATACGTGGATACCTGATAACTATTCAGGTGACCTTACTTGTACTGGAAATGGTGAAACTGAAGTAACTAGAAATAATAAAAACTTGTTAAATTTTAATTTATATATTTATTTATTCGATAACAGTTTATATTTAAAACCTCAAAATTAGTTTAAAAATTCATTGACATATGCATGTATTTCCCATTTTGTTCCCTTTTTTTGCGATGAGAATAGATAGCGAAATTTAGTTTGGAAATTAAATTATCGGACGAGCAACTTTAAGGGCAGCGGCTATGCAGGAATAGCAATTCGCTTAGCTAAGCATTTTCTGCGCTCTCCGATAAAATTTCCAACCCGGGTAAATATTTGTGCGAATTTCTGTTCTGCCGGATAAACCATGAAGCTCTACTATGTGATGTGTCCATGTGATGGCTATGCGTGTGTGCTGGTGTGTATCTGTGTGAATAAATTCTGCAATGCGTAGCTCAAAATTTCCAACACTAAATTGTTATGGTTTTTAGTCTTAAAGATAAATGTACTTAGCCAGAGGACTCGGTTGGTCGTTTTGGTGTCGGGTTCATTTTAAAGTTTTGCATATGCCTCCGAAAATATTTACTCGTGAGGAGAGAGATTGTTTAGTTAAACCGTAAAAAGACTGGCATGTCTGGGGGTTTTGACTCTGGGTTTGTCCAGAGTTTCTCTGTCGCTGCCAGAGACAATGTAACATTTAAGAAAATTTAAGCCGCAGGCGACTTAAAAACGAGACGAGAGTCCCTTTTTTCCAAGCCAGGGCCATATGATTTAGCCATTCTGTTGTTGTTTTTGCTGTCTATTGTTGGGGATTTGGCTTGCCTTTGCCGTTGCCTTTGGACTTGGATTTTTTACTCATTGTCTTCGGGATAGACCGAAAACAGCGAGGCCAAAGGACCAAAGCTCTGGGATAGATGGATGGACAGGCAAACAATTGTTGTTTGTATCCTGGTTAGCTTTGGCCAAGGATCTGCTGATGCTGATGGTGAAGCCTCATCCTTTGCTGCTGCTACTGCGGCTGCTTTGGCTGCTGTACAAATTAGTTTCTAATACCTTCAAGTCAAACAGTGGACCCACCCGGAGGAGACCTTTGCCGGCAAGGCAATTCAAACATACAGACAAACACTGTGGATCTGTGGCTCAAATGGGGCTGGGTCAAAGTCTTTGGGCATCCCCCCAGAAGTTTGCCAAATCACTTGAGCGTGTTTATGAAATAACGTTGACTCGAGTCTATATACTTGGGGGCGTGTTCTGAACTCTCTCTGTGAGCCGCCTAATTACAAAACTCATCCGTTGTCGATTGATTCCCCGGCAAATGGTATTTTAAATAGTTTCGCTTAGTTACATTTTGGCTCCATTTAAAGACCATCCCAAAACCCTTCGAAAAAGATTGCGTAATGATGCAGACGCTGTTAAAAGTTGGGCCAAAAACAGAACCACAAGACCAAGAACCAAGAAGACCATGTGGCGGGTTTAATGAGCTAACTGATTCCCTCTCGATTCCTCGCTCTCACCGTCATCCTCCGTTTATCTTTGGTCCAAAAAGTTTTAAAATTCATTTTTAATTGTTTATGCAGCAAAAGTTCAGCTCCGAGTTAAAGGAGGAATACAATGGGAAAAATAAGAACAATTCTTGCAGCACTAAGAAATAATAAAGATACTTTTTTTGTTCCTTGTTTGTATTGTGTTGAGTTCTCGAAGGTCCTGCTGCTTTTTGGAAATTAAGCAATTTTCATTAGGGCAATAAGGGAAATTAGGGGATCTTAGGATGTAGATATCTCTATTTAAGGTGAAATTTTCACTTAAATCTTTAAATCTTTTTTAATTTTTTAATGAGCAAGTTAAAATATAAATTATTTTTTTGTATTTATAGCAACTTAAATAATAACTAAATTTATTAATCTATATATTCTATTTTTTGAGCCAAAGAAATTTATAAATAAAAATTGTAAAAAACTTTAAATTATAGTTTACATTTTATATTAAAAACCTGTAAAGAATATGTTTTAATAAATTACCAATGATGTTTGAATTGCGAATAATTTCTTTAGTGCTGCATGTCTTCCAATTACAATAGATAAATATTTCAAAAAAATACTTTTAAGCCTTAACAATGATCTTCTGACACGCTCCTATGTTTGAGAATCCCTGACCCTGTATTAGAACCATAAAACGGCAGCTGCTTTTAGCCAACTAACCCAGAGAACTAAGACCTTGCCTTGAGCTCAGAGTTCAGAGCAGATGTGAATGCAAATTTCGAGAGGTATTTTATTCAGACAATTATAATCGGGGCAACAAAATGCCCATT